TCTTGAAAGCCCGACCTCAGGTGATCCACCCGCCTTGGCCTCCCAAAGTGCTGGGATTACAGGTGTGAGCCATGGCGCCAGGCTAAAACAAGTATTTTTTTTTTCCCCCCAAACAACAGCATTCTAAGCAGAAAGTCACAAAACAGGAGGAATCTAGTCTGATTCGTGGCATCAGATAAACTGCTAAACTGTACTGTGGGTAAGAACAAAACAGTGCTTACCAGAAAACTTAATTTTCATTCCGATGAATTTCTAATAGTGAAATAAATTACTTTAAAGCACAACAAAGAAGAAAGTCAATACCCAAAACTTCCTAGGCTCAGGAAGCATGGTGCTTGATGGGAGAGTTAAAAGCTGTCAGCCCGAAGACAGGCAGGGAAGTCTCTATGACCCCCTCCTGGAAAGGCTGCGTTTTCTCAACACTTCTAACCCTTCGGCACGGGAATCTTGGAAAGCTTTTTTCTTTTTTCCCCAAAGAGACAAGGTCTCACTATGTTGCCCAGGCTGGAGTGCAGTGGCTATTCACAGGCGTAATCCCCCTACTGATCAGCAGGGGAGGTTTTAACCTGTTCCGTTTCCAATCCGGGCCAATTCACCCGTCCTTAGGCAAGCTGGTGGTACCCTACTTTCGGGAGGTCATCATACTGATGGCTGAACTTGGTGCAGACATGTCTCTGGCAGAGTGTGCTATAGCCCAGGACTCTTGGGCTCAAGCGATCCTCCCGCCTCAGCCTCCCGAGTAGCTGGGACTCCAGGCATGTGCCACCGCACTGTCCTGGAATGTCTTTTTTAAGTATCTCAGTTCTCTTAGTTTTTGACAGTTCCCTGGTATTCTCAAGGTGATCATTTAACACTTCATTAACAAGTCTATTACTGGAATTAATTCAAATGAGCCAAACCTAGTTTTAATTAAACCTCATTCTGCTCAGGGTAGTCTTTTTTCTCCTGTATCAGTAGCTGCCTGCATGGGCCCAGTTCCTTTCAAAACAAGGAAGTATAAAACTCTATAAAAGTGTTCTGACATTATTTAAAAATTTATCTATTAAAATATACCTATCTAGTTAATTTGGTTCCGTAATTTGGTCATTCTGGCTCAACATTCAACTATTCAAGCAATGTTACAATAAAGTACTTGAAGAACCCACTGATTTTCTGGTATTTCCAATCATGCGTGCATTCATTCAGTCATTCAATAAATTTACTGAAAGGATCCCAGATGTCACACACTAAGCTGGGTGCTATGCATGTTATTATTAACTACACCTTTGGACAGAAATAAAATGCATCAAAGCACAGCTCTGGAAAATGGAAAAGCAAAATTTTAGTTGATTTGGTCAAACATTTTGCCTTGACTCGTACGTAGATATTACAGCTAAATTTCCGTTAGTGGACATGGATTAGTGATGTATAAAGTAAAAGTCAGAATTTCAAATGTCTAGTGGAATTTACCAGAATTTCCTAGGCCTCATTTTTTCTACTCCCTGGCCTATGCTAACTCAGTATTCCCACTCCAGGTACAGGCAACCGGGCAGCACAATTCCCATTCATTATTACCTCACCTGGAATCCTATTGAAGTTGCCTTGCAATATCGGTCAACCTAGTCATATGTCCTGTTCTTCCTTGGGAAAAGGATAGAAACTGGAGGAGAAATGTGGAAAAAGTTGGGAGGAAGGGGAAAGGAGTCTCCGCTCACAAAGTCGCGTGGAAACTGGATCTCACCTTCCCTTGCATGCTGCAGCTTTTCTGAAGGCTCTGTACTCTCACCAAAGAGCAACATTTCTTCACACAAAAAGATGAAAACACTTAACAATAAGCAACCACATACTGTCTATGTATGTGTTTAAGCCTTACTTTCAATACCAGGTGCTTAATGTACTCTGGAATCCCAACAATAACAAAGTTTTCATGATAAAAGTAATACATTCACTGACATGGTCTGGATGTTTGTCCTCTCCACATCTCAGGATGGAATGTGATCCCCAGCGACGGAGGTGGGGCCTGGTGGGAGGTGTGTGTGTGGGTCATGGGAAGGATCCCTCATGAAGGCCTTGCTGCCATTCTTGGGTAATGAGTGAGTTCTCGCTCTGAGTTCTCCCAAGATCTGGTTGTTTAAAAGAGCATGGTACTTCTCCCTTTTATGAGACTCCATCTCAAAAAAAACAAAAAAGGCTACAAATTCTTTGACATGCCTCCACTGGGGAGGTGGAATCTAGTTCCCCACCCCTTCAATCTGGGATGGCCTTAGTGACCTGCTTGTTAACAACAGGTCAGAAAAGGTCATGCGGCTTCCGCCAGGTTCTTTGGAATGCTTGCTCTCTGAAGCGTTCTTTCTGGGTACCCAGTCACGATGTTATGAGGAGCCTAAGCCACATGGAAAAGATACATGCATGAAGGTGCTCTGGTCAACAGCCTCAGCTGAGGCTGGCTCCAAGTCACTCCAGCCCAGGTGACGAGTGGAGAAGCCTCCAGGTGATCCCAACCATCAGCTATCTCAATCTTTCCAGACACTTGAGTCTTCCAGGCCAGCCCCAGACAACGGAGCAAAGACAGGTCATCCCTGTTGTGCCCTGACCGAATTCCTGACCTGTGGCACTTGTGAGCATAATCAGATGGCTGTTGTGTCACACCACTAAGCTTGGGGGGTGGCTAGAGGCAAAAACTAGAAAACGGGTGCTGATCCAAAGTCTATATATGATCACCATGTTTCATTTCCTCACTACCAGCACAGCCCAGATTTTATCATTTAGTACAGGTAAGTCATTTATCTGGGGGTAATGTGTCACACAGATCCATGTTCTAGAACAGGGCAAATAAATTATCCAGTGTTAACTTTGATAGCTCTTAGCCATTTCTTAGTCACCTAAACCTGTGTGCTGAATCAGTTAAGGTAAGTGTGCCTATGTGAAGTACCTAGAGAAATGATAGCTATATGTATACATATGTGTGTGTATATGTCTGTCTCTCAGATTCACACACACAGTTTCCACTAACACCACAACAGAAGGAGAGCAGATATAGTTATAGCTGTTATCAACAGGGAGCTACTCACAGGCTCCACAATGTGTTTGCAACATTAATAAGACAACTTCTTCAAGAAATTAATTCGCAAAACTGAAAATGATCACATTTCACTACTTCCAAAAATCTCTCATTAGAGATAACAAGGATCTAGCACAGATCAGAAAAAATGTTAACGTAAAATTCTGATTTAAGAAAACAGTCGACTGGGGGTGGTGGCTCATGCCTGTAATCCCAGCACTTTGGGAGGTTGAGGCAGGTGGGTCACCTGAGGTCAGCAGTTTGAGACCAGCCTGACCAACATGGAGAAACTCGGTCTCTACTAAACATACAAAATTAGCCGGGCATGGTGGCACATGCCTGTAATCCCAGCTACTCGGGAAGGCTGAGGCAGGAGAATTGCTTGAACCTGGGAGGCAGAGATTGTGGTGAGCCGAGATCACACCATTGCACTCCAGCCTGAGCAACAAGAGCAAAACTCCGTCTCAAAAAAAAAGAAAACAGTCAGCTGGGCACGGTGGCTCACACCTATAATCCCAACACTTTGGAAGGCCAAGGCAGGCAGATTGCTTGAGCCCAGGGGTTCAAGACCAGCCTGGGCAACATGGTGAAATCCCATCTCTACAAAAAATACAAAAAAAAATGGCCAGGTGTGGTGGCAGACTCCTGTGGTCCCAGCTACTCGGGAGGCTGAAACACGAGAATCATGTGAACCTGGGAAGTGGAGGCTGCCATGAGCTGAGATCATACCACTATACTCCAGCCTGGGAGACAGAGCAAGACTCTGTCTCAAAAACAAAAACCAAAAAACCAAAAAAACAAAAAAACAAAGAAAACAGTCAAAACCAATCAAAATCAGACGTGCCACTTTATTCGATGCAAGCCAAATCAATCTTACAATAAAGTATTACATAACTGTAGAGTGGAGAGCTCATGGCTGATAATGTGAAATCTTTTACAAATGCCAAACTGACTTTATAAGCATTAAAAAAGCAACAAGTGAAATTATTGTCTTATACATGCAATGAAAATATTTTTTAAAGTAAAAACAGACACCCACTTGCTCCCCTTTTAGTATCACTGTTCTGCAGTCAATACTGCCCTCTGGTGTTGCAGAATAAAAGTCAAATGTCAGAAAGTGAACACTGCACTTTATTGTTCACAGTAGTATGTTTAAATCAAGGCATCTAGTTGGGACTACAAATCCCATCAAAGACAAAATAAACAGATTCAGGATGTCATTTATTATCTCCCGTATATGAAATTAGAAACTCTTTATAAAGGCATTAAATCAGGAATACTAATTTATGAAAATAGCAGCTCTAAACCATGCTGTTAATGAAACATCACTAACAGTGAATTACACCATCACATAAAATTATGCAATTCAAGAAAAACCCCAAAGGCATATTACCTCTGAGTTAAGAGAGTATGTAGGATAGTAAGAGTAAAGCCTCCCATCTATAAACAAGAAAATTCCACAGGAAGTGAGCCAGGGTCGTTCTCATGGCATATATATCAAACGCACTAAAAAAGTGTCCACGGAGGCCGGGTGCGGTGGCTCATGCCTGTAATCCCAGCACTTTGAGAGGCCGAGGTGGGCGGATCATGAAGTCAGGAGATCGAGACCATCTTGGCTGACACGGTGAAACCCCATCTCTACTAAAAATACAAAAAATTAGCCAGGCGAGGTGGTGGGCGCCTGTAGTCCCAGCTACTCGGGAGGCTAAGCCAGAAGAACAGCATGAACCCGGGAGGCGGAGCTTGCAGGGAGCCGAGATCCTCGCGCTGCTGCACTCCAGCCTGGGCGACAGAGCGAGACTTGGTCTCAAAAAAAAAAAAGTGTCCACAGAAACCACATACCAGCCAGCTCTGCCTATCAGTAAACCTGACTATTTATTTTAGGAAAAAAGCTCAAGAAAAACAGCATGTTTGGCCGCTAGGTGGACTTATGCAATGTTTCAAGAAAAGAAAGACTTACCAAGGCTGGTGCCATCCTGCCCCATGATGCACTTCATGGAGGTGATGATCTGCTCCACTACAGGAGGTGACAATGACGTGGCATACACTGCACTATGAGAATGTGTGCGCAGGTAGTCTATCAGCTCCTGGGAAGTTCACAGAGGCAGATAAATAAAGACAATTCTTGCATTCACTGGCAATGTCAGTGCTTTCCTTCTAAGTTCTAGAGGACTCCTTGTTTCAATGGCACTGGAACAGGGACACTAATCTGAGATGCAAGGTCAACCAACATGGTCGAAGCATACCGCTGGCAACAACTGGGTCAGAGACATGGCAGAGTTCTTAGGTTTGGTTTTGTTTTTTAAACATGGAACAACATAGGAAAAAAACTAGTTTTAAAACAATCCTTCTAAATTTGGAGAATGTATCATTTAAAGTTAGAAATATGGCCGGGCATGGTGGCTCATGCCTGTAATTCCAGCACTTTGGGAGGCCAAGGTGGGTGGATCTCCTGAGGTCAGGAGTTCAAGACTGGCCTGAACAACATGGTGAAACCCCATCTCTACTAAAAATACAAAAATCAGCTGTGCGTGGAGGCGGGCACCTATAATCCCAGCTACTCAGGAGGTTGAGGCAGGAAAATCACTTGAACCCAGGAGGCAGAGGTTGCCGTGAGCTGAGATGGCGCCATTGCACTCCAGCCTGGGGGACAGAGTGAGGCTCCATCTTAAAAAAAAAAAAAAAGTTAAAAATAAATGAACAAGGCTGAGTTAAACAGCCTTTGTTTGGATTGCTGATGTGTTTGGATTGCTTTTTACATATAATGATTTAATTCCAAGTATCATAGAAAATGTCATCTGCAGCTCTCTGTGCCTGTAAAGCCCATCCTTCCAACCCTAAGTAACAGTTCTCTAACATCAACTTTAAGAGCATTAGAACTTCCTCCAGATATGCAGAAATGTACAAAATGATACAAATGTGAAATAAAACAGAAATGTATAAGGTCTTTCATTAAAATGCCAATGACATCTCACCGAATAAAGTAAAACTGTCATTTACAAGGATTTCAAAAAAAAATTAATTGTATATCCCTATTCTCTGATATCTTTTTATTTCACCAAATCTTTAAAATGTACGTACAAGAAGCTTATGTACCAGAACAAATTAGGGAGACACAAATTTGGATATAAAACAGTTTTATCTCAAAAACATTAAAAATTGTACTAAAAAAACCAAAAGCACAAATATATTGTACTTAAATGATCTCCCAGAGTATTATTTTTCTATCCTTTGGTTCACAGTCACAAAGTTTACTAAAAAACAACAAACTCTCCAAAGTGAGCCTTGTCTCATTAACAAAAAGGAAAATTTGAGATAAAAAAATCTATCAAACCTGGCCGGGCGGTGTGGCTCATGCCTGTAATCCCAGCACTTTGGAAGGCCGAGGTGGGCGGATCACGAGGTCAAGAGATCGAGACCACCCTGGCCAACACGGCGGTGAAACCCTGTCTCTACTAAAAATACAAAAAATTAGCTGGGTGTGGTGGCACGCACCTGTAGTCCCAGCTACTTGGGAGGCTGAGGCCGGAGAATCCCTTGATCCCGGGAGGTGGAGGTTGCAGTGAGCCAAGATTGCGCCACTGAACTCTGGCCTGGCAATGGAGTCAGGCTTGGTCTCAAAAAAAAAACAAAAAACAAAACAAAAAAAACAACAAAAAAAAAACTCTATCAAAACTGATTAAAAGTCACTGAAAATGAGTTCTCTCTAAAAGACAATCAATTATTAAACGAATGACCTTTTTTTCTGAAATAGGGTCTTTTTCTGTTGCCCAGGCTGGAATGCAGTGGTATAAATACTCACGGCTCGCTGCATCCTTGATCTCCCTGGCTCAAGCAATCCTCTCATCTCAGCCTACTTGGGACTACAGGCATGTGCCACCACACCCAGCTAATTTTTTTACTTTTTTGTAGAGATGAAATCCCACTATGTTGCCTAGGCTGGTCTTGAACTCCTGGGCTCAAGTAATCCTCCCACTTCAGACTCTCAAAGTGCTGGGATTACAGGTGTGAGCCACTGTGCCCAGCATAAACATTCTTTAAGACTCCCAATATTGAGTTTTGAAGCAAAATTAAGAACATTTATGAGCACCTCCTCTGTGTCATATACAAACACCTGACATACATACATTATTTTTTCCCTAACACTGCAGTGTTCAAAAATAACAGCTTCGTTGAGATATAAGCCACACACCACAGAATTCACCGTTTTAAAGTACAATTCAGTGGTTTTCAGTATATCCAGAGTTGTGCCACTTTGACTACTAATTTTAGAACATTTCCATAACCCTGAAAGGAAACCTCATACCCATTAGCATTCACTTTCCATTTCCCCATCCCCTCCACCTCCGGCAACTACTAATCTACTTTCTGTTTCTATGCTTATTCTAGATATCACATATTTTAAAACATGCAATATGTGACTTTTTGTGACTTTTTTCACTTACCATAATATTTTTAAGGTGCACCCACGTTGTAGCATGGACATATATTACTTTTTAAACCCTTACTACAATCTTACAAACTAGGCATATTTACTTCTATTTTACTGACAAGGAAACTGGGAGGTTAAATGTTTTCCCTGAGGTCTAACAAAGTAAGCAGAGAAATATTCAGACCCAGGCCTGTGTCCTTATGGTTGACCACTTCCACCACACCACAGATTCTTACCTACATCAAAATTCACCATATGATTTTTTTCTGACTACAAAGACCCAGCAAAGGCAATTACGTCATTAAAAAATTGAAAATACAATGCTTTGTAGTACCCCACCGCTGGCACAACTTTTTCCCTTCCTGTCTCCATGTTCACTCATGATACGTTTGTGTCCAAGAGCAAGGTGACCTGCTATTCCCATGTGCTCCCATGACAACCCCACTGTTTTTGAAACTGTGAGCACAATGCAAACCCAACAGAAGGCCGGGGCGGGCAGGGAGCACCACTGTGTGTTCTTTCACACAAGAGGGTATTCTATATCTCAGATCAGCATGTAGCTTAGAAAGAAGCTCAAATAAGAAAACAACAAACAATGAACAGAACCAGCCTTTAGTTCAGTGAGGAGACATCAGAATCACTCACTGGTATTAGAGCCTAAACCACAGGCAAATTTGGGGACATCCCAGTTCAGGGCCCCATCTGCTAGGCTTGAGGTACCAAATCTAGTTGCCAGTGATTTTATCTCTAATCGCTCATTCTCACGGCTCGTTTACCTTCTTGCCTCCAATATATCCTCCAGAAGCACCAAAACTCTTTGTGAATGTTCCCATCATAACATCCACATCCTCAGGATCTAGGCCGAAGTAGTCCACCACACCCCGGCCTGTGGGGCCCAAGGCGCCAATGCTGTGAGCCTCATCCAGATACAAGTATGCCTTGTACTTCTTCTTGAGGGCAATCACTTCAGGAAGACGAACAATAGATCCCTCCATGCTGGCAAAACATGAAAAAAATATATATACACATGTACACTGAGACTTTTTAAATCAAAATTAGGAGTTTGGCATTTCGTTATTATTCAGTTTACTGGTTTTTTTTTTTTTTTTTTCTTGAGACAGAGTTTTGCTCCGTTGTCCAAGTTGGAGTGCAGTGGCGTAATCTCGGCTTACTACAATCCCTGACTCCTGGGTTCAAGCGATTCCTGTGCCTCAGCCTCCCAAGTAGCTGGGACTACAGGTGCCTGCCACCACCACGTCCAGCTAACGTTTGTATTTCTGGTAGAGATAGGGTTTCACCATGTTTCCCAGGCTAGTCTCGAACTCCCAGCCTCAAGTGATACACCGCCTTGGCCTCCCAAAGTTCTGGGGGTTACAGGCATAAGCCAAAATGCCCGGCCGAGTTTATCTGTGGTTTAAACTGAAAAAGGCAGAGGAAGCCATGGTAAGGCAAAAGACTAGGGGAAAGAAAACTGGACTTTAAAAATGAGCACTGGCTGGGCGCGGTGGTTCACACCTGTAATCCCAGCACTTTGTGGGGGCTGAGGTAGGCAGATCACTTGAGGTCAGGAGTTCGAGACCAGCCTGGCCAACACAGCGAAACCCTGTCTCTACTAAAAATACAAAAATCACCTGGGCGTGGTGGCGCACACCTGTAATCCCAGCTACTCAGGAGGCTGAGGCAGGAGAACCAGGAGGCGGAGGTTGCAGTGAGCCGAGATCATGCCACTGCACTCCCGCCTGGGCGACAGAGCGAGATTCCATCTTAAAAAAAAGCCCACCGGCCGGGCACGGTGGCTCAAGCCTGTAATCCCAGCACTTTGGGAGGCTGAGACGGGCGGATCATGAGGTCAGGAGATCGAGACCATCCTGGCTAACACAGTGAAACCCCGTCTCTACTAAAAAATACAAAAAAACTAGCCGGGCGAGGTGGCGGGCGCCTGTAGTCCCAGCTACTCCAGAGGCTGAGGCAGGAGAATGGCGTAAACCCGGGAGGCGGAGCTTGCAGTGAGCTGAGATCCGGCCACTGCACTCCAGCCTGGGCGACAGAGCGAGACTCCGTCTCAAAAAAAAAAAAAAAAAAAAGCCCACCAAAACCACCAAAAAACAAAAAACAAGCACCAAATACAAGCGATCTTAATTCACAACAAAAAGAATTAAGATCACAGCAGATTCTTCTAAAGCTTGTAATTACAGGCAACAAGAGACTTTGCATCACATTGCACAGGCAATGAGAATGACACAAAAGAACAAAAAAAATTAGGTGGTAAAAATACGTGCAAAAGCTGTAAATGTTAACCAAAATAAAATATTTCTTTTTAATTTTTATTTATTTTTTATAGAGACAGGCTCTCACTATGTTGCCCAAGCTGGTCTCAAATTCCTGGCCTCAAGCGACCTCCCACTTTGGCCTCCCAAAGTGTTGGGATTACAGGCGTGACACACTGCACTCAGCCTAAAACAAAATATTTATTAAAATTAAATGATGTATAATTTGTTTTGACATATTAAAATATATATTCCAATTCTTGCCCTTACGTATACGTTCCCTCTACAAACTAGAAAAATAAAAGACCCAAATAGAAAGGGAATTTGGTGACCATGTAGTATAATGGAAAGAATAATGAAGAACCAGACACAAAGACTTCTGTTCTAATGCTGACTCTGTTTCCAGGTATTTTAGCGATTTATAAACACTGTCTCCTTAGTTTCCAGAGGGGGACAGACTAATGTTGCCTTCAGTTAAAAAATTCTATGACTTCATGGGGCCAAGTCATAAAGGTAAGAATAATAAAGTAGGATTACCTATATATTCCTTCCACAAGGATGAGAATTTTCTTCCAGGGCCTTCGTGTCCGAGGCTGACCATAAACAATGGCATCTTTCAATAGCTTCTCTAGGCTTTGCATATCTACGACACACAAAAAAGAACAGAGTCATACCACATCTTCCTCTTTCCTAACTTTATTCTGGAAATGCAGAGATGTATTTCTCATTTGGAAAGTATTCCTCAGATAGCAAAGGACATAATTAGAGTTAGGCAGAAAAAATCAGGGCAAAATTTGTGCATTATTGCCACCTTGAATTGAAATCCAAAACGTGACAAATGTTCAAAACCATCGAAACGTGACTGAAGGACTGTGGTGGTTGATTCAGTTCGTTAGCTTGCTTATGAAATGACCGGTGTCTCATGTTAAGTACCCTGCCATTAAGTTAGCTTCTCTGTGTTTATCGAAAAATATAGAATCAAACTGTATCTCTAATCCTAGTGAGTCATTCGGAAATAAATGCGTAAAAAAGACAGAGTGAGAGTGTGAATAAACCATCACAGATACATACACCTCCTAAAAAAACAAATGCAAGGGGTAAAAAAAACTTCACAGTGTATGCTCCATTTCCTTTCACCTAGGACGTACTCAATAAATGCTTGTTAAAGAGCTCTGTTTTGGTACTGGGTTACAAATACACCCGTCTGGGGCATGTTTAAGTCTGTGTGTTAAGCAAGCCTGACAATTGGTTGAAATTGTTCCATGTTTGACTTCATCAGTTGTCTATTAACAACCAAGTTCTTGTGGTTCTCATGGTGGTTAATGGGCCTGGAAACAACTTGGCTGCTACTGCCATTAATGATGATCACAATTTCCCTGTTAAAGACAACTGCTTTGAAGACCATTGTTGCCACACTACAGATTTCATACTTAAACTACCTGCCCTGAAATGAAGTCCTTAAAAAAAACTCCCCAAAATTTAAGCAACATTAAGTCTGGGGAATACTTAATAGGGATGGGAGACATCCTATCATAAAATCTTTTTTTTTTTTTTTTTTTTTTTTTTTTTTTGAGATGGAGTCTCCCTCTGTCATCCAAGCTGGAGTAAAATGGCGCAATCTCGGCTCACTGAAGCCTCCACCTCCAAGGTTCAAGCGATTTGCCTGCCTCAGCCTCCCAAGTAGCTGGGATTACCGGCACCCGCCATCATGCCAGGCTAATTTTTGTATTTTTGTAGAGATGCGTTTCACCATGTTGGTCAGGTTGGTCTTGAACTCCTGACCTCAAGTGATCCGCCTGCCTCAGCCCCCCAAAGTGCTGGGATTACAGGCGTGAGCCACCAAGCCTGGCCCCATCATAAAATCTGATTTTGTATTCTGTATTGCTTGTCACTGGAGGAAGGGGTTATAAAAGCATATGATTTTGCTCTTTGCAGAAAACAATTTTGACAGAAAAAGAAATAAGGTAATAAAAACAAAGAACACAAACACAAATAAGATAGTCTATGGTTGTGATTGTGCTTACGCATTCAGTAATTTTTAAGAAAAAAATCTGCATATGACCTAATCAAGATTCAGCACATGTACCCTACAGAAGTAAATTATGTCCTGACTCAAAACTTCCATTTTTTTTTTTTTTTTTTTTGAGACAGAGTTGCCAAGGTGGAGTGCAGTGGCGTGATCTCTGCTCACTGAAACCTCTGCCTCCCGGATTCAAGTGATTCTCTGGCCTCAGCCTCCTGAGTAGCTGGGATCACAGGTGTGTGCCACCACATCCAGCTAATTTTTTTATTTTTAGTAGAGGCGGGGTTTCATCATTTTGGCCAGGCTGGTCTCTAACTCCTGACCTCAGGTGATTCACCCGCCTCGGCCTCCCCAAGTCCTGCAAAGCCTCCAGTTCTTAGGCAGAGAGCAATGTATGGCAATCAGTTAAAGACAAGTAAAAACATATGAATTATTTTAGTTTTCTATGCTTATATACAGAAGGAGGAGAAAAATAATACTGGTCAAAATTTTAGATAAAAGAAATATCAGCCAGGTGTGGTGGCTCACGCCTATAATCTCAGCACTCTGGGAGACCGAGGTGGGTGGATCACTTAAAGTCAGGAGTTCGAGACCAGACTGACCAACATGGCAAAATCCCGTCTCTACTAAAAATACAAAAAAACTTAGCCGGGTGTGGTGGTGGGCCCCTGTAATCCTAGCTACTTGGGAGGCTGAGACATGAGAATCGCTTAAACCCAGCAGGCAGAGGTTGCAGTGAGCTGAGATTATACCACTGTACTCCAGCCTGGGTGACAGAGCAAGACTCTGTATCAGGAAAAAAAAAAAAAAGAAATATCTACAGCAGAATGCTTAACCGTATTATCTACTCAGAAAAAAAAAAATTCAACCTCTCTCCAATGTTATGCCCCCAAATTCCACATAAATTTAAATAAAAAATATATCGCAAAATTTCCAGAAGAAAACATGAAAGAATCATCTTGTGATCTGAGAATGAGGAGGGTACTGTGTAAAATCCAAAAGTTGTAAGACAGTAAGTGTGGCAACAAAAGCATTTTAATGAGTCTGCACGAGAAGACACTGAAAACAAAGTCAAAAATATAAAAATAGTGCAGTCTGGGCATGGTGAATCACTCCTGTAATCCCAGAATTTTGGGAGGCTGAGACAGGAGGATCGTTTGAGCCTAAGAGTTCAAGACCAACCTGGGCAACACAGAGGGACTTTGTCTCTATAAAAAATAAAAAACACTAGCCCGGCATGGTGGTGCATGCCTATAGTCCCAGCTACTTGGGATGCTGAAGCAGGAGAATCCTTTGGGCCCAGGAGGTCAAGGCTGTGGTGAGTTGTGGTTGTGCTACTGCACTCCAGCCTGGGTGACAGAACGAGACCCTGTCTCAAAAAAAAATTAATAAAATAATGCAACATAAAGGAAAAGCTAATTCATATAAAGGGCTCTTATAATCAGTAAAAAATAGAAACAATTTGAAAATGGCCAATTTATAAGGAAATACAAACACATTAACTTACAAGTAGGGTTTAAAAAACAGATATAAAAATACAATAAAAATGTAAAAAGTTGCTCTATACCTAATAAGCAATGAAATAAAAACTAACATAATATTTCCTCATTAGATTTGGAAAGATTTAAAATGATTCACTGAGTGAATGGCCAGTGAGCAGGAACAGTCAATCTCACACTGTTGAGTAAAATTCATACAGGATGCAAGCATGTGTATGTTCATTGTAGCACTATTCACAACAGCAAAGATACAGAATCATCCTAAATGTCCATCAACAGTAAACTGGATTAAAAAAATGTGGGGCCAGGTGCAGTGGCTCATGCCTATAATCCCAGCACTAGGAGTCCAAGGTGGATGGATTGCTTGAGCCTAGGAATTCAAGACCAGCCTGGGCAACATGGTGAAACCCCATCTTCACAAAAAATACAGAAGAAAAAAAACAAACCAACCAACCCTGGCCAGGCATGGTGGAATACACCTGTAATCCCAGCTGTTACGTGGCTGAGATGGGAGGATCGGTTGAGCTGGGGAGGTGGAGGTTGCAGTGAGCTCAGTTCATGCCAACGCATGCCAGCCTGGGTGACAGAGCAAGACTCTGTCTCAAAAAAAAAAAAAAAAAAAATATATATATATATATATACACACACACACACACACACATACACATACACCATCGAATACTATGTAGCTATAAAAAAGAATGAGATAATGTCCTTTGCAGCAACAAGGATGCAGCTAGAAGCCATTATCCTAAGCAAACTAACACAGGAACAGAAAACAAAATACCACATGTTCTCACTTGTAAGTGGGAGCTAAACACTGAGTACATACAGACACGAAGAAGGGAACAACAGACACTGGGGCCTACCTGAGGATGAGGCAGGGGAGGAGGAGGGTAAGGTTTGAAAAACTACCTATCAGGTACTATGCTGATTACCTGGGTGACAAAATAATCTGTACACAAACCCCCGAGACATGCAATTTACCTATATAACAATCCTGTACATGTACCCCTGAACCTAAAATAAAAGTGAAAAAAAGAGTTCATATAATGCTTAGAGGCAATTCGGAAAACTATTAAAAATGTATACTCTTTTAACCACGCATTCTGAGACTACTAAAAATTTATCCTAAGGCACTAACCAGATGACTGTACAAAACTGTAAGTGTAGTGCTATTCCCAGTAGAAAAACTTAGAAACGCCCTGATGTCCAATTGAGGGAGCAATTAAATGAAGGCACATGCAGGCACTGACTGCCACACTGGCATTTAAGAATGAGGTAGAGTCAGGCCGGGCGCGGTGGCTCAAGCCTGTAATCCCAGCACTTTGGGAGGCCGAGACGGGCGGATCACAAGGTCAGGAGATCGAGACCATCCTGGCTAACATGGTGAAACCCCGTCTCTACTAAAAATACAAAAAATTAGCCGGGCGAGGTGGCGGGCGCCTGTAGTCCCAGCTACTCGGGAGGCTGAGGCAGGAGAATGGCGTAAACCCGGGAGGCGGAGCTTGCAGTGAGCTGAGATCCGGCCACTGCACTCCAGCCTGGGCGACAGAGCGAGACTCCGTCTCAAAAAAAAAAAAAAAAAAAAAAAAAAGAATGAGGTAGAGTCACATGTAATGACAAACAACAATCACAATGTATTGTAAAAAGGGGCCAGCCGTGATGGCTCACACTTGTAGTCCCAGCACTTTCGGAGGCCAAGGCGGGAGGATCAACTGAAGTCAGTTCAAGACCAGTCTGGCCAACACAGTGAAACTCCGTCGCTACTAAAAATACTAAAAATTAGCCAGGTGTGGTGGCGTGCCCCTGTAATCCAGCTACTCAGGAGGTGGAGGCAGGAGAATCGCTTGAACTCGGGAGGCGGAGGTTGCAGTGAGCCAAGGCTGAGCCACTGCCCTCCAGCCTCGGTGACAGAGCGAGACTCTTGTCACAAAAGAAAAAGAAAGAAAGAAAATAACAGGTTACATAGGGATATTTAATAAGATCTCATTTCTCACTGTAAAACATTTTAGACAAGATAAAAACAAAAACAAAAGCAAAAATGATGTTATCATCTATGATCCTTCCATCCAGGGGTACACACCTAACATTTTGGTATACATTCTTCCAAACCTGTCTGTGCCTGCACACCATTCTGGGAAAAGATGATATTAAACATACAGTTGGGTTATCTTTTCTGCCTTTGTGTGTGTTTTAACTATGAAAGTTATACATTTTTATTCTAAATAATCATTTTGATAACACGCAAAGATATTTCCACTTAGGGAGGAAAGGTCTGGCTCAGGGGCACCCTCCTCCGTGCTCCCACAGCATCTATTCATGGCTGTACTTCAGCACCTGTCTGCTGTACTGTAAACATTGGCTTATCTATTAAGTCTCTTCATTAACCAGTCAGAGACCTTGATTTATTCATCTAAACACCGCTAGTCTTATGGCAAGATACACTATAGACATCGAGTAAATGTATTTGAGTAAGGGATTTGTAAACAACGAAATGGGATGGAAAACTTAATGGTCAAATAAAAGAATGGTATTATATTTGTACAAGAGGCTTCCTTCAACCTCTAATTTTAAAAGACTGGACCAGAAGAACATTTTAAAAGTTGCTACTTTGGCTTCATTTATATTTTCAACTGCTAATATAACTCATGTTAATTCCCACCATGGATCCAAAGAATAATAAACACCAAGGCCAGCAGTGAATTCCGCAGCAAACTCACTGTTGTGTTTGAAGATTCGAATGGTTGCTCCTGACAGTCTGGCTCCTAGAACCAGTGATGCATGGTTCAGCTCATCACTCAGAATCAGGCAACCCTGCAATATCACAGGAACAGAAAGGTAAGAAGCTGGGAGGGAAAGGGTTAGTTACACAAATCACAAAATGCCACACGCACTAATAGCTGTATCTTATTAAGGAAATCGTGCACAACAGCACAGTGATCAATTTTAAGAGGAGGAAAAAAGTATACATGATCATTTGCTTTTTGTAAAGACACCTTAAAAGTAGATGCAAAATTCTAGCCTTTTAATTTAATATCTTCAGTCCCATGACTGAGGTAAATAGTCAGATATATGGCAACAGGTCTTTATTCATATTTAAAACATGACACATCAGTCTCTAAAATGTTTTGGTTTCTTTACGTGAGAGAATTCCATGTAGTTTTAGTATGATGTTCTGTTCATCTGTGGGAAATGGCAGCTGATGGGGTCATGTCTGTGGAAATGGTGCATTCTCTCACTACTACTCACCAGAGTACAGGGAAGAACCTACTTGGAAGATCCTACTTATTAACCTTTTCCCCACATAACACGGACTGTAGGCTTCAGTTTTATCTTAAAAATCTCCAAACAAGCTTTGCTTTAACACACAAACATCAGTTTCTGCTAAGGCAACAAGGCTGAAGGTCTCAGCTTTTTTTTTTTCACTGCAGTTCTTACTCTTCCATCTCTCAGGGGGCGCTTCAACCTGTCAGATCGGAACCCAGAAACAGGTTTTTCTCTGTCAAAAATGGCCTCAAAATGTCCAATTAGATGAAAAAGGTGCAGAAAGTATCTAGCATGCTCCCATGAGAATAAAAAGAAGAGAGAAGATACACAGACACACAGTCATCCCTCAGTCTACAGGAGGACTCGGTTCCAGAACTGCCTCACCCCCACACTTATCCAAATCCATACATGCTCATGTCCTGCAGTTAGCCCCGTGGGACCTGCTTATAGGAAAAGTAGGCCCTCCATATATTTGGAGTTTGTGTTCCATAAATACTATGTTTTGTGTGTGTGTGTGTGAGACGGAGTCTCACTCTTGTTGCTGGAGTGCAGTGGGTGCAATCTTGGCTCACTGCAACCTCTGCCTCCCAGGTTCAAGCAATTCTCCTGCCTCAGCCTCCCAAGTAGCTGGGATTACAGGTGCCTGACACCACGCCTGGCTAAGTTTTGTATTTTCAGTACAGATGGGGTTTCACCATGTTGGCCAGGCTGGTCTTGAACTCCTGACCTCAGGTAATCCACCCGCCTCGGCCTCCCAAAGTGCCAAGATTACAGGCGTGAGTCACTGTGCCTGGCTGAATACTGTATTTCTGATCCATATTTGGTTGAAAAAAATCCATGTAAAAGTGGACCTGCATAGTTCAAACCACGTTGTTCAAGGGTCAACTATATATATATATATATGCTTATTTATTACAGAATATTCTTAAAGGAATACTTAAGAAACTTGTAACAGTAGTTGTGTTTGAAATTTTTATTAAGCACATAGTATTTATTAAGATAAAAAAGCTACCCTGGTTAAAAATATACAGATTAAAAATGAAGTTGCCAGGCATGGTGGCTCATGCCTGTAATCCTGGCAATTTGGGAGGCCAAGGTGGGTGGATCACTTGAGGTCAGGAGTTTGAGACCAGACTGGCCAACACGGCAAAACCCCATCTCTACTAAAAAAAAAAAAACAAAAAAAACAACAAAAAGAAAACCCCCCAAAAATTAGCTGGGCTTGGTGACGGGCACCTGTAATCTCAACTACTCAAAAGGCTGAGGCACGATAATCGTTTGAACCCAGGAGGCGGAGGTTTCAGTGAGCCAAAACTGTACTGCTGCACTCCAACCTGGGTTACAGAGGGAGACTCTGTCTGAAAAAAAAAAAAAAGAGGAGGAGGAGCAGGAGGAGCAGGAGGAGAAGACAGAAGATGGGAGGAGAAGAAGGAAGAGGAGGAGAAGGAGGAGAAGAAAAGCAGAGTTGGCAGTATCAATACAGACTCCTGGCTTTCAAATCTTTATGCATGCACACACACACACACACACGCACACGTGTATGCATGAGTTAGCATACATACATACATACATTTTCTAGCTGTAGTCACTGAGAGGTGAGAAGCAGTGACACTCCTGCAGCAATACACACACCTAGTTCCCAGACCTTGGTTTCTAAATACCATTCTCCAATAAAAAGAATCAGGGCTTCTTGGAGAACTGGTTAATTCCAAAACTGGGATAGGGAAAACATAAGATGATCCTGGAGCATTTTATTATGTCAGAAAGTATGAGAATGCTTAAAAAAAAAAAAAAAGTTATTATATAGTCCAAGGACACAGGTACCCACCTGAAGGAGCTCCCAATGGCCAAAACTAAAAGTCCAGCAACAAAAAAGAAGCAATTGTGTTGAATTATAAGCCAAATAATAAAAATATTCACAAACCCATAATTACACAAATAAATAACGGAGAAGCAAGAACTCTTCCTTACACGAAAATTCTAATTAGTAAGTATAGAAGGAATGAGAAAAATAGAAAAACCACCATTAGAACACCAAGGTAATAACTGCCACAGGCAAGATCAGAGACGCCTACTAAAGTTAGTGGGTGAAAGTTTAATCCAAAATGCTATATACAGTCCCAAAGTATCTCTGCCACAATATATGGTGATTACAAAGGGAAACGCAGTACGTTGGTAGCAGAAAACCCCTGCTGACACCTGAGCCAAGTGATTAAGATTTACATCATCAGTAATACATATTGAAACCACAGTCTCTCGCATGATTCACTGAGAAGGGTACCACCTCTGTGGTAGCTTTCTCAATAATGCATGGGCTCAATCAAACCATAACAACACAGCAGACAGACCCAAATTGGAGACATTCTGCAAAATAAGGGACCAGTACCCTTCAGAAGTATCAAGGTCATGAAAGACAAAGAAAGACAGGAACTATTCCAGATTGGAGGAGACCAAGGAGCTACAACAGCTAAAGGCAATGTGGATCCTCACCTGGATCCTGAAGCGGAAAAAGGACATCAGTGAAAAACCAGTGAAAACCAAATACGTCCTGTACTTTAGTTATAGTATTGTATCACAGTTAATTTCTAAGCTGTAAGAAATGGTTCCACTGTTATTCAAGATGTTAACATAAAGGGAAGCTGAATGAATGGTATACAGGAACTCTCTGTACTCTTTTGTAACTCTTTTTGTAAGTCTAAATTTAAGTTTCAAAAAACATGTTAAAATTGAAAAAGTGAAACTGGGGGAGGAAATAAGGAGAGGTCAGATTTCTCTTCAGCAAGTCTTCAAATTCTTTACTTACCACTCTTGGCAATCAACTCTATCTGAAAAGGTATCCTCCCTTCCCTTCCCCTCCACACAAAATTTTATTTTCTCCTCTTTCCAGCTAAATATGTTTCTGGCAAACCTGCAAAAGCATTATGTTCTTTTCTTCTGGCAAAAAGGAACTCTTTTTAGACAGTCTCTTTTAGACAGCCTTATTCACCATTTCAATGTATCAATCTGTCTTTTTCCTTTAGAACTTATTCTGAAAAGCTTTATTAAATATTTGGTTCAAAAATAAAATAGATATTCACACTAGTAGTTAACATCTAAGTGCTTAAATGTTTCAGGTATGATGTTAAAAGATTTAAAAGCATTATTACTTGTAATCCTCACAACAACTCTATGTAATAGACCCTATTATCACTCCCACTTCACATATGAGGAAACTCTTGTTCAGGAGTTTAAAATCTTGCTCTAGGTCACAAGCACAGTAACAAAATAATAATACTTTTATTATTATTATTATTATTATTATTATTTTGAGATGGAGTCTTGGTCTGCCACCCAGGCTGGAGTGCAGTGGTGCGATCTCTGCTCACCGCAAGCTCCACCTCCCGGGTTCACACCATTCTCCTGCCTCAGTCTCCTGAGCAGCTGGGACTACAGGCGCCTGCCACCACGCCCAGCTAATTTTTTGTATTTCCAGTAGAGATGGGGTTTCACCATGTTAGCCAGGATGATCTTGATCTCTTGACCTCGTGATCCGCCCGCCTCGGCCTCCCAAAGTGAGCCACTGTGCCCGGCCACAAAATAATTATTAAATAAGACAAGTGTCTGCCTCCAGAACTTATGCTTTTAATCAATATACTGCCCCATCCTGCCATTAAACTGAGCAATTAACCACCTCACATGGAAATTCAGTATCAGATTCAAAGGATCATTTAAACTGGATAAGTTACTGTCTTTAACAGATTAAATGATATTTAATAATATTTCAACTATAGTCTGATTTGGAATATAAATCTTTATGGTTGTATCTTTCAGGTCTGTGTAGAAAACATCTAATTATAGATAATCCTTTGTTAGAGTTTGTAGGCATACAGAGAGAAGAGCAAGATGAGATCTTCTAATCCTCTAGTGTTAAAAATTCTAACAAAAAAGAATCTCAGGTTTGTACTTCAAAATGCAGGACAGCAACGTATTATAATGTGAAGTCACGGAGCCATACATTTATGTCTTACAAGGAATTTTGTGTATTTTATCTAAGTTGTTGAATTTATTGGCATGAAGTTGTTCTTAATATTCCCTTATTATCCTTTAATGTCCATAGGACGTGTAGTGATGTCCCCCTCTCTCATTCCTGTTGCTGGTAATATGAATCTTCTCTCTTCTTATCCTGACCATTCTGGATAGAGATTTATCAACTGTATTCATTTTCTCAAAGAATTAACTTTGGTTTCACTAATTTCCCTATTACCTATTTTCTAATTCACTGGATTTTACATTTATCTTCATTATATTCTTCTTTCTGCTTAGTTTGGGTTCAATTTGTTCTTCTTTTCCTAATTTTTTAAGCTACAAGCTTTACTTTTTTCTAATACAGGTTGAATATCCCTTATTCAAAATGCTTGGGATCAGATGTGTTTCAGTTCAGATTTTTGTGGATTTTGGATTATTTGCATTATATTTACTGCTTTAGCACCCCTAAGCATTTTCTTTGAGCTGTCATGATGACACTCAAAATATTTATGAGTTTGAAACATTTTAGATTTCAGATTTTGGGATTAGGGATGCTCAACCTGTATAAACATTTAATGCTATACATTTCCATCTGAGCACTGCTTTAGCTTCATCCAACAAATTGTAATAGGTTACATTTCCATTTAGTTCAAAATATTTTTATTCTCCCTTGTTTCTTCTTCTCTGGCCCATGGGTTATTTACAAGTATGTTGTTTAATTTTCAAATATTCAAAGATTTTCCAGGTATCTTTGCGTTATTAATTTCTCATTTAAATTCCACTGTGATCACAGAACATACTTTGAATAATTTTAATACTTTAAAATTTACTAAAACTGGCTTAATGGCCTAGAATATGGTCTTTGGTAGTAAATGTTTTGCTGTTGTTGAGTGAAGTGTTTCAAGACTCTCAACTAGGTCAACTGGTTGACAGTGTTTTCCAAATGTTCTATATCATTACTGATTTTCTGTTTCATTCCTCTGTCAATTAAGAGAGAGGGGTTAGGGCCGGGCGCAGTGGCTCACACCTGTAATCCCGGCACTTTGGGAGGCCGACGTGGGCAGATCATGAGGTCAGGAGATTGAGACCATCCTGGCTAACACGGTGAAACCCCGTCTCTACTAAAAATACAAAAAATTAGCCAGGTGTGGTGGTGGGCGCCTGTAGTCCCAGCTACTTGGGAGACTGAGGCAGGAGAATGGCGTGAACCCAGGAGGCGGAGCTTGCAGTGAGCCGAAATCACGCCACTGCACTCCAGCCTGGGTAACAGAGCAAGACTCTGTCTCAAAAATAAAAATAAAAATAAAAGAGAGAGAGGGGTTAATGTCTGTAATTACAATTTTCTATTTGTCTACTTCTTTTAGTTTCATCAATTTCTGCTTCATGTACTTTGAAGCTCTGTTCATAAACCATTTATGCCAGAGGTTACAATTTTTTGAATTGCAAAATCAGACCTTGGCGATGACCTTGAGCAGTAGGATATAAATAACTCCCACATGCTTAGTGTTCCAATAATGGAACATTAGGCATAAACGGGATAAGCACCCATACATTTAAAATTACATTCTCTTGATGAATTAATTCCTTAATCATTACACAATGTTCCTCTTTATCACCAGAAATAGTTCTTGCTCTGAAATCTTTGTTTATATTAATACAGGCACTTCAAATTTCTTCTGATTACTATTTGCATGCTGTATATTTTACTATCCTTTTCCTTTTAACCTGTGTCTTCATATTTAACATAAGTTGCTATTTTATATTAGGAAACCTACTTAATTTTATCTGACAATCTTTGTCCATTCTCCCTGGAATGTAGAAACCATTTATATTTAATGTTTATCAATACAGATGGGTTTAAATCTCCTATCTTGCTGTTTGTTTTCTATTTGTCCCACCTGTACTTTACAGACCCATACATTGCATAACTAAAAAGGACTTTAGAGTTAATCTAGCTCAACCACCTCATTTTACAAAAGAAATGTGGAGGATCAGAAAGATTATGTGACATGCTCACAGTCACACAGCTAAGAGTGACCATATAAACAACCAAGAAACAAAAACTCAATTCTCCTGCTTGAGTTAATCCACCGTATTTTCAATATACCATTCCTAGATGTCATGTTAAACATGAAAATAAATAACCTCAAAGGGCCTTTCAGGATGAGAGCACCAATCTGCTGAGACATAATTTACATTTACATACAGATTGTGCCCTCTCACACACGCTACCCACTTGGGGATATATATATAAAATATGTATATGTAATACGTATATCATATATAATATGTATATCACATATATGTATATTACATATATCATATATAATATGTATATTATACGTATATATAATATGTATATTATATGTATATATAAATATATAAACACAGGCTGGTCTCAAACTCCTGACCTCAGTTGATCCGCCCACCTCGGCTTCCCAAAGCACTGGGATGACAGGTGTGAGCCACCGCGCCCAGCCACAAATTGTTTTTCATTTAAAAAATAAAATAGAGATGAGGCCTCGCTATGTTGCCCAGGCTTGCCAACGTGGTGAAACGTCGCCTCTGCTAAAAATACAAAAAATTAGCCAGGCGTGGTGGCACACACCTGTAGTCCCAGCTACTTGGGAGGCTGAGGCAGGAGAATCGCTTGAACCTGAGAGACTGAGGTTGCAGTGAGCTGAGATGGCACCACTGCACTCCAGCCTGGGCAAAAAAACAAGACTCTATCTCAAAAAAAAGAAAAAAAAAAAGAAAAAAAACAATTTGTGGTAGAGATATCTTTGGCTCAACTATGTTTAGTCTAAAGTTTACAACAGCTTTTAGCTCACTCTGAATGCTTTTCAAAACAAAAGAAGATATACATGAGTGAGTTTTCATAAATCACAGAGTTCTTACTTTGCCAACAAGAGCAGGAATGTTCATTGAATTCGTTGCAAATCCCATTCCATACGCCATAGCAGCTTCTACTCCTAAGAACCTTGCTACAAGCTCCTCTAGTTCTTCATGCTTGTCCAGGTTTCCTGTGTGAAGAAGTTAAGAAAGTCAGTATCACAAAATCCTGAATTTAAGAATTACTCATCACTTTATTGAAAGAAATCATAGTGTATGTGTTGTGTCCTTTTCAGACTAAGATCTATGAAGGAGTCAATATTATGAAGAGTAATATTCTTCAAAATATTGTGAAGAGTAATATGCGCTCATAAAGAACACAATAGTTGAATAAAATCTGATTCAGCACCTGCAGTGGAATTTCCCCAAAGGGGGTTGCCAATAATTTCTCCCATTCCTGTTTGTGCATACTAGTTCCAGGTTTAGGCCTCAGGAGGCCTAGCAAAATCTGCTTTTATACTTTTGAAGTCAGCTGCTACATAAAACAATCTAACTGGCCTGTTGCAAAAACAGAACATGGGCGGGGGGTGGGAACTGGAGGATAAGAGACTATGGAAGGAGGAGAGAAAGACGTAAGGAGAGGGGGAGACAGACAGAGAAAGAGAAACAGAGATGCCCAGCCAGCCTTTAGCCCCTCCTGCCACCCAGCTGAGGTGTCAAACATGTGAGTTAAGACATCTTGGATCCTCTGTACACAGTCATAACTGCCTACCCAATACCACATGGAGCTAAGATAACATTAAGCCCTCCCTAAATTGCAGAATCATGAGCAAATAAATCTGCTGCTGTTTTAAACCACTAAGTTTTGAGATGGCTTTTATACAGCAAGAGATAGGTAAAAACGTTTCTTCCCGGCAGGGTGCAGTGGCTCACGCCTGCAATTCCAGCACTTTGGGATGTCGAGGAGGGCGGACTGCCTAAGGTCAGGAGTTCAAGACCAGCCTGGTCAACGTGGCGAAACCTTGTCTCTACTCAAAATACAAAAATTAGCTGGGCGTGGTGCTGGTGCCTGTAATCCCAGCTACTCAGGGGCTGAGGCAGGAGCATCACTTGAACCTGGGAGGCAGAGGCTGCAGTGAGCTGACATTGTGCCACTGCACTCCAGCCTAGGCAAAAGAGAGAGACTCTGACTCAAAAAAAAAAAAAAAAAAAAAAAAAGTTTCTTCCCTCACTGTGAACTGACTGGTAAATTTGTACTGCAATTTTATATTGGTACTCAAATCTTTAAGGACTAAATGATATTACAGAGAGAAAAGACGCTGGGAAAGAAGACTGCTAAACTTGGATGCTATGTGCCCTTACAGCTTGCTTAATCAAAGCCCTTAGGAAGTCTCTGGGCTAAATACTTCTACATAGCAGTAATAATTTGCCCTATCTACCTAATGACATTGTTGTGAGGATCAAAAGAGATAATATGTTTGAGCTTTTTTTTTTTTTTTTTTGAGACAGAGTCTCACTCTGTTGCCCAGGCTGGAGTGCAGTGGCGCAATCTCAGCTCACTGCAACCTCTGCCTCCTGGGTTCAAGCGATTCTCCTGCCTCAGCCTCCCAAGTAGCTGGGATTACAGGTGCACGCCACCATGCCCGGCTATTTTGTATTTTTAGTAGAGACAGGGTTTCACCATGTTGGCCAGGCTGGTCTCGAACTCCTGACCTCAAGAGATCTACCCACCTCGGCCTCCCAAAGTGTTGGGATTACAGGCGTGAGCCACTGCACCCAGCCGAGTACTTTATAAAATATAAAATGCCATAAAGGTATAAGGTATCCTTACTATATGTCATCACTGCACAATGCTCCTTTAACCACAGGATTAGATCAAAAGGCTTGTCATTTCTGGAGTGCCAGTTAGAAACTCTGTTTTAAAGATGGGGGAAATAAAAATGTTCTACTCCCATCTTCCTCTTGAAAATCATCACAAAACAGCTGGATAACCAAGAAATAAAAGCAAAAAGCTCAATTTTTTATTAATTAGTAGACATCTATAATTCTGAACACAATTAATGAAAATGGAAAATATATAGAAGGATAGTGTTATGGGTTCAATTGTGTCCCACCAGAAAGATATTTTGAAGTCCTCATTCCCAGAAGAATGTGACCTTCTTTGGAAACTGGGACATTCCAGCGGTAATCAAATTAAAATGAGGCCATTAGGGGGATGCTAACGTCTTTATAGAAAGGGGAAATTTGGACACAGAGATAGACATGCACAGAAGGAACACAGAAGACGACAATGCTGCTTTTTTTTTTTTTTTTCTTGAGACAGTCTCACTCTGTTGCCCAGGTGGAGTGCAGTGGTGTGATCTCGGCTCATTGCAACCTCTGCCTCACAAGTTCAAGTGATTCTCGTGCCTCAGCCTCCCAAGTAGCTGGAATTACAGGCGTGCACCTTCCATCATGCCCGGCTAATGTTTGTATTTTTAGTAAAGACAGGGTTTCACCACGTTGGCTAGGCTGGTCTTGAACTCCTGACCTCAAGTGATCCGCCCGCCTCGGCCTCCCAAAGTGCCGGGATGACAGGCATGAGCCACTGTGCCCAACCAGAAGACGACAATGTTTGACACACAGGAAGACAGCCATATGGTGGGGTGATGCACTATAAGCCAGGGAACGTCATCGATTGCTGGCAACACCAGAAGCTAGGAAGGATTCTCCAGAGCGTCAGAGAGCATGGCCCTACTGACACCTAGACCCCAAACCTATAACCCACAGAATTATGAGACAAGACTTTTTTTTGTTTTAAGTCACTCTGTTTCTGATATTTTGTTACAGCAGCCACAGGAAACTAATACAACTGGAAAATGACAGAGTTAGAAGAAGGTCATATCTATGCCCTTATAGAGTGGAATTCTTTGAAAACCAAGTAAATTCACTGTATGGAACCCTAGAGAAGTTTAAAAACTGGAGGGAACAGGCAGCAAAGTAAGCAAGGGTTAAAGTTGGGCTACATACAAGATGACTGGAAGACGATATAAAAATGAGCAGGAACCCTCACGCATTGATGGAGAGATTGTAAAACACTGTAGTCTCTTTGGAAAACAGTTTAGCAATTCCTCAAAAGGTCAAACACAGAGTTACCATACGACCTAGCAATTCCGCTAGTAAGTATAAACCCAAGAGAAACAAAAATACATCATACAAAAACTTGTACACCCACGTTCACAGCAGCAATGTTGACAATAGCCAAAAAGCAGAAACAACTCAAATGACCATCAAGTGATAAGTGGATAAACAAGATGTGGCACCCTCACACAAAGGATTATTATTCAGTCAAAGAAAAGAATGGAGTGCTGTTAGATGCTACAACATGGATGAATTTGAAAATACTGTGCTAGTGAAGGAAGCCAGACAGAAAAGACCAAATGTTATAGAATTCCTTTTATATTTAATGTCCAAAATAGGCAAATCTACATAGACAAAAAGTAGACTACTGGTTGCCAAGGACTTGTAGGGGGAAGGGAAACAGTATCCAATGAATGCTACTGAGTATAGGGTTTCTTTTAGGAGGAATGAAAATATTTAAAATTAGATGGTGGGGCCAGGCATGGTGACTCACACTTATAATCCCAGTGCTTTGGAAGGCTGAGTTAGGAGAATCACCTGAGGCCAGGATTTCAAGAATACCCTGGGGAACACAGCCTCTTGAAAGAGATCCCCAGCTCTACAAAAATTACATTTAAAAAATCAGCTGGGCACGGTGGCGTGCACCTATAGTCCTAACTACTTAGGAGGCTGAGGTGGGAGGATGGCTGGAGTACAGAAGTTTGAGGCTGAAGTGGGCTATGATTGCACCACTGCACTCCAGCCTGGGCAACAGAGACCCTGCATCTATCTATCTATAAATCCATGTATCCATCTATCTAAATAAATAGATATAAAAATCTGCACAATTTTGTTTTTCCTTTTTCCTTTCTTCATTTTGTTTTAAATTTCCTGAGTTGACAGAGTTGCCGTGGAAGATTAAATAAGGATGCAAATTCTTTGTTACTCTTCCCATTCGGAGTTGGAGGAGGGCAATCCCCACAACCCTTGAATCTGGGCTGACCTTAGTGACACTTTGACCAACAGGAAGAGGCATAAGCGATATTCTGGACCTGTACAGCTAGTGCCTAAAAAGCCTTCCAGCTTTCAACTAGGTCTCCTTGTTTTTGTCGTTTTGACACAATGTCTCACTCTGTCACAGGCTAGGGTGCAGTGGCACGATCACAGCTCACCGCAGCCTCAAACTCCTTGGCTCAAGGGATGCTCCAGCCTCAGCCTCCTGAGTGGCTAGGATCACAGGCGTGGGCCACTATGTTCAGCTACTTTATCTTTATTTTTTGTAAAGACCAGGTCTCACTATGTTGTTCAGACTGGTCTCAGACTCCTGGCCCCAGCTGATCTTCCTATCTTGGCCTCACAAAGTGCTGGGATTATAAGCATGAGCCTCCGTGCCTGGCCTCAGTCAGGTATCTTTGCATGCTTGCTCTAGAGGGCTGCTGCCATGCATGATGAACAACTCTCCAAGACCACCATGGTATGAAGAAGCCCAAGTAAGAAACATGGAGAGGCCACACAGAGCTCCAGCCACCCCAGCCTAGGTGAAACAAGTGAATGAAGAAGGCTTCATATGTCTCCAGCCATACAGCCACCACTGAGTGAACCGTGAGAGGAACCTTGGGTAAGAACCACCCAACTATGCTTGCCAATCCCTAGAACCCTGAGAAATAACTAACAATGAACTGTCCTTTTAATCTACTGTGCTTAGGGATATTCACAGTAATAAGCATTTGGAAAGTTTTCGTAACTTCTAGGGTTATCAGTTCTCTGAAACAAATTAGAAAAATCTGAAATCTTCCTCTGAAGTAAAATAAATTGAATCTCTTTATATAAAGCTATTACTCTATATTTTATAAATTTAAAACAATAATAAAAAGAGTTTATATTTATTGTCTACTATGTTCCAAGTGCTCTACATGGATTAGCTTACGTAAGTCTTAAAAGAGCTCTATCAGGCAGCAATTATTATTAGCCCCAATTTACCAGTATGAAAGCAGATTAACTCTCATATGCCCAACATCCTAATAAGTGGCACTCAACCACTAACATTTGCAAAAGCCAATGAAATCAACATCAAAGTTATAAATGAAACAAACAGTGGCAGGACTTTTCGAGGGACAATCTATATGTATAACACATTGGGAAAGATAAACACATCTCAAAATGTGTTGAAAGCATTAAAATCATCCATCACACTTCAGAAAAACAAAGCATTCTTCACCTTATCTAAATGACATGACAAAGTGTGGATACTTAATACTTTAGGTCAATATCACTATTATTTGTCCCTGACTAAAACAAGGTCAAAAACAGCAGCTGGCCAAATATAGCTTTCACTTACCAATTTCCTGCCGAGTACTGCACACTCCAACTCCATATTCCTCTAGGATTTTGGCGGCTGCTTCTTGACATGATCCAGTATTCCGTGCAAATCCAAGATAGTTATAGGAACCCATGTTTATAACACCTTTTATTATATTCCCTGTATACCTGTGTATCAACAGCATAAAACAATGAAACTCATGAGCAAAAAAGTACTTAAATGTAATAGCAAATCCACTGGTAACACAAAAGGAAGCAGAGAGAACAAAGTCTATATAAAAAAATCTCAAACACACTACCAATTATGGAAATGGAAGTTAAAATAACCAATTTTCATTTATTAATAGTGATAAAGATTTTAATACTAATGATATCCAGTGTTGGCCAGGACAGTCACTTATCTTACAGGACACTGTACATAAGAATATCAGGTTTTCTCTTGTTCATTCTTTGGAGGGCAGTCTGGCAGTACTTATCCATTAAAAGATATACATACTCTGGCTCAGTGACTCCCGTACATGATCATATATACACATGAGGATCCTTTGAGAGTCACTGCACAATTTGCCACATCTGTTCCCCAGGTACAGGGACCAGTGACATTTCATACAATGGAAGCTGAGGCAGCCTGGGCCCCTAAGGACTAAATGGTTCAGGGGCCCCACCGATCTAGGATGAACATGAAGTATGGACAAGGATAAACTGTCACTATTTTAATTCCCTGAGATTCTGAGATTATTAATACAGCCCAACCTGTCGCACCATGGCACATCTATACTGTAAAATACGATGTAGTCATTACAAATAGTAAACGTGCTGTGAATATACACATGAGAAGGGGTGTCACCAATATGTGACCAAGCTAAGAAGGCAAGGTGTAGGCCGGGCACGGTGGCTCACGCCTGTAATCCCAGCACTTTGGGAAGCCAAGGCGGGCGGATCATGCGGTCAGGAGATTGAGACCATCCTGGCTAACATGGGGAAACCCTGTCTCTACTAAAAAAACACAAAAAATTAGCTGGGCGTGGTGATGGGCGCCTGTAGTCCCAGCTAGTCGGGAGGCTGAGGCAGGAGAATGGCATGAACCCAGGAGGCAGAGCTTGCAGTGAGCTGAGATGGCGCCACTGCACTCCAGCCTGGGCGACAGAGCGAGACTCTGTCTCAAAAAAAAAAAAAAAAAAAAAAAGAAGGCAAGCTGTAAAATAAATTTTTGTTTTTTGACATAGAGTGTCACTCTATCCCCACAGAAAAGATCTTGAAAAACAATACAAAAAACAATACAAAATAAAGTGATAACAACAGTCACCTCTGGGGAGTGAAGGAGGATCTGCAAGGGGGTGGACGTGCAGAGGAAATGGGGTTAGCTGTCATGGGAACTAACAGTTTATCTGTATTATTTATCTTTTTTTTATAATGGCAATTCAATCATGTAATACTTGTGCAATCTAAACAATACAATGTTAAGGCCAGACACAGTGCCTCACACCTGTAATCCCAGCACTTTGGGAGGCCAAGGTGGACAGATCACTTGAGGCCAGGAGTTCGAGACCAGCCTGGCCAACATGGTGAAACCTCGTCTCTACTAAAAATACAAAAAGTAGCTGAGCGTGGTGGTGCATCTCTGTAGTCCCAGCTACTAGGGAGGCTGAGGTGGGAGAATCACTTGAACTTGGGAGGTGGAGGTTGCAGTGAGCTGAGATCATGACACTGCACTCTGGCCTGGGCAACAAAGTGAGACTCCGACTCAAATAAATAAACAAACAAACCAATACAATGTTAAAAATACAAAAAGTTTTCCAAACCATTCAATCCATTTAAGTAAAAACACTCCACATATCATCCTTGTTCATTTGAAAAATCAAAATATCCAGAAATAAATTCAGATACTTAATTCTGATAAGTGGCATAATGGAAAGGAGAGCTTTTCTTCCTTTTTTTTAAAAAAAAATAAGACCAAAAATAAAACAGACTAAGCTTTTGTACACTATTTATTATCAACAGGAGTTATTTTTAAAAATAAATAAGCCAGGAAAGGCGCGGTGGCTCACACCTGTAATCCCAGCACTTTGGGAGGCTGAGGGGAACGGATCACTTGAGGTCAGGCGTTCGAGACCAGCCTGGCCAACATAGTGAAACCCCATCTCTACTAAAAAAAATACAAAAATTAGCCAGGTGTGATGATGTGTGCCTGTAGTCCCAGCTACTTGGGAGGCTGAGGCATGAGAATTGCTTGAACCTGGGAGGCGGAGGTTGCAGTGAGATGAGATCACACCACTGCACTCCATCCAGCCTGGGCGACAGAACAAAACTCTGTCTCAAAATATACATACATACATACATACATAAATAAGCCAAATTTTGTTCTGAACTATAATCCAACACAGTATCAAATGTGATAGAAAGATGTATCTTTAAAAGCTCAACAATGAAGAATAAGGAAACCAATCGTACTGTATCCTCAGCTGCTACTCCTATTTTGAGAGAATACTCAATTTACAATAACATATTTTCTCAAATGAAGAAACCCTTTTGTAGTTGTTGTCAAGAAATAATTTCCCAACCAAGACTCACTTGAAGGACCAGTTATAATCATGAGACTGTCTCTCCATGATGTCCACCCTGGCTCCAGGCACACTACAGATTGGCCGATTCCAGTTGTCTCTTATTCTCATGTACAGGTTCCTTGTATAAAAGTTTTCAAAATCTTGATACAATGACACAAAGTCCTGCCAAGAAATGTTGACATACCATAAATTTACCTGAGTTACTTTATTAAAAATTTTTAACAGATGACATGACTTTTTCTTTATGTAAATTTATGGGGCACAAGAGCAATTTCATTATGTTCAAGATTGTGTAATGGACAAGTCAGGGCTTTTAGAGTATCAATCACTCAAATAACACACATGGTACCCATTAATTCCTCATCATCCACCCTCACTCCCTCACCCTTCTGAGTCTCCACTGTCTATCATTCCACTGAGTTACTTTAAAAACAATCTTTACAACTTCCATTTTCATACTGTAAGAGCACCTGAGAATGAGAGGCCACTTATATTTAATTAACTCCTAAATCAGGATAGGCTTGGTGGCTCACACCTGTAATCCCAGGACTTTAGAAAGCCAATGCAGGAGGATTGCTTGAGCTCTGGAGTTTGGGACAAGCCTAGGCAACATAGCAAGACCCTGTCTCAACAAAATCATTTTAAAAATTAGCCAGGTGGCCGGGCGCAGTGGCTCAAGCCTGTAATCCCAGCACTTTGGGAGGCCGAGACGGGTGGATCACGAGGTCAGGAGATCGAGACCATCCTGGCTAACCTGGTGAAACCCCGTCTCTACTAAAAAATACAAAAAACTAGCCGGGCGAGGTGGCGGGCGCCTGTAGTCCCAGCTACTCGGGAGGCTGAGGCAGGAGAATGGCATGAACCCGGGAGGCGGAGCTTGTAGTGAGCCGAGATCCGGCCACTGCACTCCAGCCTGGGCGACAGAGCAAGACTCTGTCTCAAAAAAAAAAAAAACAACAACAACAACAACAACAACAAAAAATTAGCCAGGTGCAGTGCACCTGTAGTCCCAGCTACTAGAGAGGCTGAGGCCTGAGGATCCCTTGAGCCCAGCAGGTTGGGGCTGCAGTGAGCTATGATGGCACCTCTGTACTACAGGCTGGATAACAGAGACCCCATCTCAAAACAAAAACAACAACAACAAAAACCCTGATGTATCACGAAAACATCTGGAAAAGCATCAATTCTCTGTTTACTTTAACACAACTCTTATCAGATAAAAGTCACTTAACTTTGATAGCTGACATACATTACATGGTTTCAAACAACTGACTTCATGAATGTAGAGCAAATGAATGTAAATTAACAAAGTAGTCCTCATAAAAATAAAATGTAGATGTACCATTCTGTCATTAAATGGTTTCCCTTCCTAACAATCTCAAAAAGACCACTCCTCCCTCCCCACAAGCCTCCCCCCACATTAAAAGATTAGGAGAAATGCCCTAAAAACCACTATAATTCCAATTTCAACCAAGAAAAATAATTCCCAAATTAAGATTCCATCCTTTGCATATCGTCAAGGATCAAAATGAAACAAATCCAAAGAGAAAATAATAAACAAGAAACACTATAAAATAGGATATAGGGGCCAGGTGTGGTGGCTCACGCCTGTAATCCCAGCACTTTGGGAGGCTGAGGCAGGTGGGCGGGCGGATCACCTGAAGTCTAAGGAGTTCAAGACCAGCCTGACCAACATGGCGAAACCCCGTCCCCACTAAAAATACAAAAATTAGCTGGGCATGGTGGCGTGGGCCTGTAATTCCAAATACTCGGGAGGCTTGAGGCAGGAGAATCGCTTGAACCCGAGAGGCGGAAGTTGCAGTGGGCCGTGGTCACTGTACTCTAGCCTGGGCAACAGAGTGAGACTCCATCTCAAAAAAAAAAAAAAGGGTTATAGGAAGCCACCCACCTTAGGCTCTTTTCTCTTCAGAAAGAAATTTTTTTAAAAAGAAAGAAAGGAAAAAAAAGAGGCCAGGTACAATGGTTCATGCCTGTAATCCCAACACTTCGGGAAGCTAAGGTGGAAGGATCGCTTGTGGCCCGGAATCTGAAGTGACAGTGAGCTGTGACTATACCACTGCACTCCGTCTGTGCAACTGAGCGAGAGCCTGTCTCAAAAAGAAAAGAAGGCAGGACACAGTGGCTCACACCTATAATCCCAACACTTGGGAGGCTAAGGCAGGAGGATCACTTGAGTCCAAGAGTTCAAGATCAGCCTGGGCAACATAGTGGGACCCTGTCTCTACAAAAAAAATTTTAAAAAGAAAGAAAAGAAAACACATTCCCAAAATGAATTCCTATGCTCAGGAACTTAAAGGCTCTGAGAGATTAAGTTGTACTAAAATAAAACTTAAGTCTGTAAAAAATCAAGTCACAGTGGAGAAGAAATGCTATGCCTGGTGTGGTATGACCACTACTCAGAACACATGTGACCAGACCACACGAGATCTACTTAAACTCTTGAATGTAAAGGGGAAACCAAACAAGAAAACGAAACTACAGTTTTACTATATCAGCCAACTACTGAGTTTACAGCCATCAGACCTAGGCTTGGTGCCAATATAAATTAACCTGTTAACTAAATTAGTCAAAAACATTGAAAAAGCTTAAGTCTTATTCTGTAAAAGATTTTCATTGCTAAAGAAGGCTACATATAACTCTGAAATTAACCACTTTCTATGACACCAGACTCTCAAGCGCCTACTAAATGAGCCTCCCAGTAGATAAATCTTATAAATAAGGCTGAGCAAAGTCAGAAGCTACTCTAAGAATCTGCAGTACCTGATACCATCTCTCTCTCTTTTTTTTTTTTTTTTTGAGGCAGAGTTTCGCTCTTGTTGCCCAGGCTGGAGTGTAATGGTGGGATCTCGGCTCACTGCAACCTCTGCCTCCCAGATTCAAGCTATTCTCCTGCCTCAGCTTCCTGAGTAGCTGGGATTATAGGTGCCCGCCATCACGCCCAGCTAATTTTTTGTATTTTTAGTAAAGACGGGGTTTCACTATGTTGGCCAGGACACTCTCAAACTCCTGACCTCAGGTGATCTACCCACCTCAGCCTCCCAAAGTGCTGGGATTACAGATGTGAGCCACCGCGCCCAGCCGCCATCTCTCTTACAACTGGTTCTAATAGTTAATTTTCCTCAGGACAGAAAATATCCATAAATAACATGTCTATCACAATTGGAAATTTTTCATTTAAATGGTATGTCTGTTTTGATAGCCTTCCAACAAGTATACTGGTTGAATTAAAATAGGAATAGAGATATCCAATTCTAATTAAAACTTTTTATTTGGCTGTTATTACCCATGCATTTATTTCCCAAAGGAAAAAAAACAAAAAGTAGTCTTCAATCCTTTTCATTCACATCAAAAAGGATAACAGTAGTAATCCTTCTAACGAAGGAAATGACAGTACTGATTATCTCATCTCTCTTTTTTTTTTTTTTTTAAATTTTTTTTTTTTTTGAGACAGAGTCGCTCTCTGTCACCCAGGCTGGAGTGCAATGGTGTGATCTCGGCTCACTGCAACCTCCGCCTCCTGGGTTCAAGTGATTCTCCTGTCTCAGCCTCCCAAGTAGCTGAGATTACAAGTGCCCACCACCACACCCGGCTAATTTTTGTATTTTTTAGTAGAGACAGGGCTTCACCATGTTGGTCAGGCTGGTCTTGAACTCCTGACCTCAAAGGATCCGCCTGCCTCAGCCTCCCAAAGTGTTGGGATTACGGGCGTGAGCCACGGCGTGTGGCTGATCTCATTTCTTTATAACCTTTCTAAACACTGCACATTAATGTTCGAAGTATTAACTCCAATATTAAGAGAAATATTTCCTTACAGACAAATTTCTATTTAGCAACAAAAGCAATATTTTTTTGTTTTTACTATACAAAACAGAAAAATCTTAGAGTCTGCTCCAAATGCCAGAGGGGTTATCAAACCCCAAGATAGAGAAAAGGCTGCAGGACCGAATGAAGTAGAGCTTCACCCCTCAGCCTTGAGCTAAACAAAGAAAACCAGAGGCACAGTTGTCTGAGGTTAGGAAGGAAGCAATGGGTTCCAATTTCCTGAACAAAGAATTGTGCCTGTCATGGTCACGCATTTCCATCTCTCCTTAACAAATGATTTAAGTCACATTAGCACAGGGTAAAGGAGGAGAAGCTGTCACAATGAGGGATGTTAGAGACCAAAAGCAGGTGGCATAGAATGGTAGGAGAGAGGGACTCATGGCCGAAGTCTCCGCTCCCCTTTACTCCTTAGCTAAGCTCCAGGGTGGTAGCTCTGATCTCAGTCCGTAGGTTCAGCAGAAAGATCTGATGGGCATGGCTGGGTGCAGCGGCTCATGCTGTAATCCCAGCACTCTGGGAGGCCAAGGCAGATGGATCGCTTGAGCCTAGGAGTTTGAGATCAGCCTGGGCAATGTAGCGAAATTCTGTCACTACAAAAAATACAAAAATTAGCCAGGTGTGGTGGCACGTGCCTGTAGGCCCAGCAACTCAGGAGGCTGAGGTGGACGGATCACTTGAGCTCAGGAGGTTGGGGTTGCAGTGAGCCAAGATCGGACCACTGCACTTTAGCCTGGGTAACAGAGTGAAAAGCTGTCTCAATAATAAATAAATAAATAAATAAATAAATAATTTTTAAAAAGATGCGAAGGGCAGCAAACCAAACTCCCCGCAGCTTAGCCATGAGAAAAAGGAGGGGAGGCGTCAGTACTTGCAGTTCCAGTTCTAGGCAATGGGAGTGTATTTCCAAAAAGATCAGGTTAACTTCAAATATTCTAAGACCACAGTTAAACTGGGGGGGGGAGGGGGCGCGCAGGTATCTTTTCATTCATTCATTCAAATATATTTTACTAAGTACTTGATACATACCGGATTGTATGCTAGACTTTCAGGATACATTAAAGAATAAGACAGTTCTCTCCGCAGAGTAATACCCCCACGATTCCAACCCTCATTCCCCCATCTCCACCACTCTTTTCCTCCTCCTCAGTTTGGTCACTGTGAAGTGACTTTAGTTAAGGCTTACTCATCATCATTGACCTAATACTTAGTCGCCGAACAAACATTTACTGAGCAGTACCTTCCAGGCACTAAACTGGGCACTGGGAATAAAAATGAGTAAGAACAACCTCTACACTCCCTAAGAACTCTTAAGTGTGGTG